CCCCCCCCGGGTTCTCCAAAAACATGCGTTGTAAAGGTGTACACCAATGGGGATTTAGAAAATAAGCCTTAAAATGAAAAGAGGACACATGGAGCTTCTGATTCTAGTCTAGGTATTGGTGTTGTGCTCTAGTCCATTACAAAGCTCAGAATTTTCATGTTGTTGGTGATTTGGTGCGCTGGCAACACCGGCTAGTGAGCCATGTGGATAAGCAGGCCATGATTTCTAAGCCATAAGTGTTTTTGTCTTATCATTTCTAGGCAATGGTAATCTAGACCATCATTTAGGCCTCTTTTACATGGTGGCAGGCTTTACTGGTAAATGGTGGTAGATTGCGTTTCAGAGGGTAGCCGAGAGGCAAATTGCAGGCATGCAGGCAATAGTGCTACCTTTTCTTTTTTTTACAATAAAAAACCATGGGGCAACCACGTAGCAAGCATTTGGTGCACAGTTGCAGTGCGGTCCCATTGACTTTAATGGGCAAGTATGACAGGCGGTGCCACCTGTCAAAGTGGACATAGAGTTAAAATTGCTGCACCATGAACCATGGTGGCCATGGCAATGTGTACGGTTCTCAGTGGCCACCATGTCACATAGTAGGTGGGCGGTCAGGTCAACCACCTGTATTTAGTGTCTGCCTGTGTGGAGCAGGACAAGAACCAGAGTGCACTGACCTCAATGGGCAAGTTGACATAGAGAGTTAACATTGCTGGACCATGAACAATCGTGGCCACAGCAATGTGTATGATCCTCAGTGGCCACCATATCACATTGTAGGTGGGTGGTCGGGTCAACCGCCTGTATTTAGTGCCTCCCTGCAGCCTGTGTGGAGCAGGAAAAGGGCCAGAGTAGTCCCATTTACTTCAATGGGTAAGTCCACATGCAGAGTTAACATTGCTAGATCATTAACCATCGTGGCCACAGCCATGTGTACCATGCTCAGTGGCCACCTTGTCATATTGTAGGTGGGTGGTCAGGTTAACCCCCTGAATTTAGTGCCCCCAACAGCCTGTGTGGAGCTGGAGAAGAGCTAGAGCGGTCCCATTGACTTCAATGGGCAAGTTGATATGCAGAGTTAAAATTGCTACAACACGAACCATCAAGGTCATGGCAATGTGTACAGTAGCCTGAGTGGCCACCATGTCACATTGTAGATGGGTGGTCAGGTCAACCACTTGTATTTACTGTCCCCCTGGCAGCATGTGTGGAGCAGGTGAAGGGCCAAAGTGGAGTGAATAAGGGCAAGTAGGGAAAGGTGAGAACCCCCATCAGATTATTTTTTTACTGCCAAGGAGTCAACTCTGGATTCGCCATGCCATTAACAATGTGATAACTCTTTTGGCCATGGATGCTTGCCTCTTTACTGTCACTAAGCATATGCACACTTGACAGTTACTGCATTGTACAGCTTCCAAACATATAAAGCCTATCTTAACCAAAAAACTAAAATGTTATAATATATTCCCAGCCTCCCAGTCCTTAGATGAGGCGGCTGCATAAAGGAGCTCAGCAGGATGCCTGCCAGATTGTCCCAGGTTGCTAAGAACTGGGTAGGGACCTGGGACACTCTGGCCGCAAAGGGTGCGACATGCACACTGCAAACATTGTGCAGAAGAGCAGCCATGCCACTCTGCCCCCTCCCCCTCCCCCCCATGTGACCCAAAGAAATACCATCTCAAAAAACTGATCCTAAGCAGGGTCGGTGGAAGAATGTGGAAAATAAGTCTAAGAGTTGGGTTTTCCTATAGTAGAATCACACCAAGAGAAGCGGGTCATAGGGCCTCAACATCCTTCCCGCTGCTCTATGTCTGATGATCCAGGTTTTTCTTCTGACAATACAAAGGATCCCTTGAAAAAGGTCAAGAGGCATAACACAAAGCAAATATTGACGGCCGTTTTAAGAAACAGTTCGGTCAACATTAAATATGTACCTGTCTACAGAGGCAGCCGGCCAACCGACAGCAAACAAGCAGCACAAGAGACACGAGGACTGGGAGTCCCAATACTACATCCAGAGTCCGGAGGACAACACATCACTCCAAACACCAAAAGCCTCATTCCACTGCATTCTCACAGACAGCCAAACTCTGTCTAGTAATAATAGTTACAACTCCTGTCCAAAAATGGGGTTCCATAAATCCAACATAAGAATCAGTTTTAAAGGGACTGTATCATGATATAATATGTGAACTGCCTTTGATTAGTTTTGAGGAAGGCAAAGCTTATTTTGGGTTCACTGTCTGAAGCGTGCAGCCAATGAGCTGTGGGGTGCTTGTTATAGCTTCAGAATAGCTACCAAATACCAATGGACTTTATTTTGAACGAAATCCCTCCATCCTTGATTCCTTCTCAGTTGTCCCTCTTTACTATCTGTTGTAAAGAGTGACTACCTCTACAGGCTACCTCCAACCCCCTTCAGTCTATCATTAATGTTGCTGCCGGACTCATCCACCTCACCAACTGCTCAGTGTTTGAACCCCCTGCCAATCCCTCCACTGGCTTCCATCCTTTTCCCCTTTCTGCCAATCCCTCCACTGGCTTCCATCCCCCTCCCCCTCTGCCAATCCCTCCACTGGCTTCCAAAAACCCAAAAAATAAAATTCACAATGTTAACAATCATTTACAAAGCCATCTACATCTCTGCACCACAATACACCACCAACCTTGTCTCAAAGTATCACCCTAACCTTCCTCTCCGCTCCTCTTAAGACCTCCCATTCTCTCCTCCAGGACTTCTCCAGTGTCTCTCCCTTCAATTGGAACTCCATACCCCAAACTGTCTGGCTATCTCCTACTTTCTCTGCCTTTAGGCGATTCCTGAAGACTCATCTCTTCAAGGAAGCCTATCCCGTCCCCAACCTAACCTCTGAACTATCACTTTCTCAACTCATTCCCACACAGCTATCACCTCTGCTATCACTTGCCCCTCCCTTCTAGATTGTACTCTCATGGACCGGGCCCTCGTAACCATCTTGTCTTGAATTGTATTGTAACTGTAATGTCCTCCTTATATTGTAAAGCGCTGTGCAAACTGTTGGTGCTATATGGTTAAGATGCGCAGGAGAGCCGTGCAGGGAGTATGACATGGGGAAGTATGTAAAGAGGTGGGTGGTAGATGGTATGTGTAGAAGAGGAGTATGGAGGTGGGTGGCAGGTGTAAAAGTGGAGTATGGAGAGTATGAAGGTGGGTGATAGGTGTAGAAGAGGAGTATGGAGATGGGTGGTATGCATAGAAGAGGAGTGTAGAGGGTATGGAGATGGGTGGTATGTGTAGAAGAGGAGTGTAGAGTGTATGGAGATAGATGGTATGTGTAGAAGAGGAGTGTAGAGGTTATGGAGATAGATGGTATGTGTAGAAGAGGAGTGTAGAGAGTATGGAGATAGATGGTATGTGTAGAAGAGGAGTGTAGAGTGTATGGAGATGGGTGGTATGTGTAGAAGAGGAGTGTAGAGGTTATGGAGATAGATGGTATGTGTAGAAGAGGAGTGTAGAGTGTATGGAGATGGGTGGTATGTGTAGAAGAGGAGTGTAGAGTGTATGGAGATGGGTGGTATGTGTAGAAGAGGAGTGTAGAGTGTATGGAGATAGATGGTATGTGTAGAAGAGGAGTGTGGAGTGTATGGAGATGGGTGGTATGTGTAGAAGAGGAGTGTAGAGGTTATGGAGATAGGTCATATGTGTAGAAGACGAGTGTAGAGTGTATGGAGATGGGTGGTATGTGTAGAAGAGGAGTGTAGAGGTTATGGAGATAGGTCGTATGTGTAGAAGACGAGTGTAGAGTGTATGGAGATGGGTGGTATGTGTAGAAGAGGAGTGTAGAGTGTATGGAGATGAATGGTATGTGTAGAAGAGGAGTATGGAGAGTATGGAGATGAATGGTATGTGTAGAAGAGGAGTGTAGAGTGTATGGAGATAAATGGTATGTGTAGAAGAGGAGTGTAGAGTGTATGGAGATGGGTGGTATGTGTAGAAGAGGAGTATGGAGAGTATGGAGATAGATGGTATGTGTAGAAGAGGAGTATGGAGAGTATGGAGATAGATGGTATGTGTAGAAGAGGAGTGTAGAGTGTATGGAGATGGGTGGTATGTGTAGAAGAGGAGAGTAGAGGTTATGGAGATAGGTCATATGTGTAGAAGACGAGTGTAGAGTGTATGGAGATGGGTGGTAGGTGTAGAAGAGGAGTGTAGAGTGTATGGAGATGAATGGTATGTGTAGAAGAGGAGTATGGAGAGTATGGAGATGAATGGTATGTGTAGAAGAGGAGTGTAGAGTGTATGGAGATAAATGGTATGTGTAGAAGAGGAGTGTAGAGTGTATGGAGATGGGTGGTATGTGTAGAAGAGGAGTATGAAGAGTATGGAGATAGATGGTATGTGTAGAAGAGGAGCATGGAGAGTATGGAGATAGATGGTATGTGTAGAAGAGGAGTATGGAGAGTATGGAGATAGATGGTATGTGTAGAAGAGGAGTGTAGATAGATGGGTGGTATGTGTAGAAGAGGAGTGTAGAGAGATGAGTGGTATGTGTAGAAGAGGAGTGTAGATAGATGGGTGGTATGTGTAGAAGAGGAGTGTATGCAGATGGGCGGTATGTGTAGAAGAGGAGTGCAGAGGGTATGGAGATGGGTGGTATGTGCAGAAGAGGAGTGTAGAGTGTATGGAGATGGGCGGTATGTGTAGAAGAGGAGTGTAGAGGGTATGGAGATGGGTGGTATGTGCAGAAGAGGAGTGTAGAGTGTATGGAGATGGGTGGTATGTGTAGAAGACGAGTGTAGAGTGTATGGAGATGGCTGGTATGTGTAGAAGAGGAGTGTAGAGGGTATGGGGGTGGAGGTACGTGTAGAAGAGAGTATGGAGATGATGGTATGTGCAGAAGAGGAGTATGGAGGGTATGAAAGTTGCTGAATGCAGGAGGTTTCACAACTCTCATCTAACATTAAAATATTTTGATGGAATAATTACTTAATTGCTAATCTGTCCTATTTTGTCCAGTCAGACTGAAAGCACCTGTAAGACGCATACGTACACAATATAGTTCTAGATGAACTCAAACAGAGGTACTGATAGAGATCCGCAGCGATCCCAGCGCTGTGGCTCTTGCTACATGGCCCCCATGTTTCTGACCTGCACCAAGCTGAGCCGAAATGTTGTACTTTTGACCAATCATGCCAAATCTTTATTGGAGTCACCCTGCACAGGACAGAATGTGTATTCCAAGGACACTTACTTGCCAGGCAGCACTGAAAAGTTACAGTCACAAGTCACAGCACAGTGCAATTCACTTCCTCTCTTCCTTCCTGTGGAATCCTGCAGTTTCAGGCTCTGTGCAATGACTGTCAAATTTCCTCTGATTGGTCTTCTGGAGCTCAGCCCTGATTGGCTCAGGATTTCCTGTACTTAGACCCAGCTGGCTGACTGTCTAGGCTGAAGTCAGCGTGGACTCTGATGGCTTCATTGTGACATTATACATGTTGTTTTTTTCACTGAGAACGGTGTTTGTTGCATGGAGGTGACATCAGTGGATCCTGCATTTAAAGTGAACCCGTCAGACATTTTTAAAGTGGAACTTTAGCTAAAAAAAAAAATCAACATTTGTAAGCAGGAAGTTTTTGTTTTATTATCGCAGAAGAGACTTCCTATAGCTATTCTACAATAAACTACTCTTACCTTCCTTCTTGCAAACCGCTTACACTGTAAACTGAGCTGCACGTAGGGTTGTCACCTGTCCAGGATTCACCCGGACAGTCCGGTTTTTGAATCTTGTGTCTGGGTTTCCAGCCAGCTGACACCCGGACACAAGACACTAAGTGCCAATACTAGCACTTTATATTTTTTGACAGATGTGGCTGTCCAGGTCCCCAGCGAGCGCGGGACCTCAGGCGGCTGCATCTGACTGAAGCTGCATCTTCCTGTAAGCCACGAGTGCCTGTAAACAGCCCGCACATCATCTCCTCTGTCACGCTGCCCGCCTCCGAACCCCTGATGAGACACCGCACAGCACTCCTGAAAGCCTGCATAGCCCATCTGAGAGCGCGCACAGCGCACCCCAGAACAATTCAGAGCATATGTTGCTACTTATTCTTTTGTATTGCTATATAATGTATTGCTGGAGATTATAGTGCTCTATTGCCGGTCTCCTTACTCCCTCCCCTGGCTCTCTTCTTGCTCTTTCTCCTGGCTGCCTCTCCTCACTCTCTTCGCTAAATTCTCCGCAAAAAAGATAAAAAATTGCCGCTTGCATCGCTAGAGTGTTTGGGTTTCACTTGAAGAAAAGGTGGCAACCATAACTGCACGTGAGCAAGTCAATGTACATGTGTGGCATTTGCTGGGTGCCATTCACACTGGGGCTGACTGGATGAGTCCCATGAATTGCTCTCTGAGATTCGTGCAAACAGCTGTGTGCAGGAAGCGCTATACCAGGGGTGAGCAACCTCAGCAATCCAGCTGTGGCGCAACTACAAGTCCCATGAGGCATTGCAAGACTCTGACAACCACACGCATGACTCCTAGAGGCAGACACATCATGGGATTTGTAGTTTTACTATGTCTGGAGTGCCAATGGTTTACGAACCTGCAATATACAAAGCAATGACAGCGCTGCGATTTGTGCTTCATCAGCTTCTTTGGGGTCTATAGGTGACTTTAGGGGTGTAATAGACCCGTGATGTCTCCAGAAAGAGGACCTGTCACTGTTTCTGTGCTATCACATAGGGGAGGGGTGGGTGTGGCTTATTAGCCCTTCGATGTGATAGGAATAAAGTTTGGTGCAAAAAAAATAAAGTTTATAAAAATTAAAGTCACATATAAAAAAAATGAAATATAAATTAAAAATATTTTCAAAGTCCCCTGCCCCAACGTACACACACATACAAATGCAAACCTATGTGCAAAAACAACGATTGCGCCGCTCATGTTACATATCACCGTGAACGTTGGAGTGCAAACAATATTTCTAATCACTGTTAACACTAAGGCCTGGTTCACACCTGGGCGTTTTACAGCGCGTTCCTACGCTCTGTAAAACGCTCAACATGTGAAAACCAATGATTGCCTATGGGCATGGTTCCCACCTGGGCGTTTTACAGCGCGTAGGAACGCGCTGCAAAACGCCCTACGCCCAAAGAACTACAGGAGCTTCTTTGGGGCATATTTGTCGCGCGTATCCATTGGGATACAGCCAGGTAGCCCTCGGAAACACGCGTTTTTTTAACCGCAAATCGTGGTAAAAATGCGCGGCACGAAACGCGCGACAAACGCGCATATTCGATATGCCTGGGTGTGAACCCAGCCAAAACCGATGAGCAGTAAAAGCTTTTGAAGTGTTCCCCATGGGCAATTTTGGGTATGGTATTTTTTTGCGATTTTACAGGCGAACGCAATTTTAAGGCTGGACATGTTTGGTGTCTGTTTATCTGTTGTCACCAAAGCAATGCAGCAGAATACATGTTGGCCTAAATTAGGGATGCATCGATACCGTTTTTTTCTGTATCGAGTAGGAGTACCGATATTTTTTTTTTGGTACTTGCCGATACCAATACTGGAAGTCCCATTAGGAAACCTGGGCGGCATGTAGTGACTTGCAGCCCAGCTTCCCGATTAGTCGGGAAGCCGGCTCCATGCTCCCACATCACCAGGTGACAAGAAAGCATGTAGTCAGCTTTCTGGTCAATCAGGAAGCCAGGGGGGTAATGACTCGCCGCCCGGCTTCCTGATTGGCCATCTTCCAAACCAATCAGGAAGCCGGGCGGCGAGTCATTACCCCCCGCCCAGCTTAATGAATGGTCAGGAAGCCGACTTCATTCTTCCTTGTCACCTGGTAATGAGGGAGCATGGAGCTGGATTCCCAGGTAATCAGAAAGCCAGGCAGCAAGTCAATACACGCCGTCCGGCTCCATGCTCCCTCGTCACCAGCTTCCCGGCCAATCAGGAAGCCAGGGG